TTTCCGTTCATTCTTGCAATACTCACTGACCCAGTAACGATAAAGCTGCCAACGGCTGTTAATGTCTCTCATTGCCCAGACATTTTTTATTCTTTGGGCATCCCTTTCTGTCATTCTGTCTGATTTCCTCAGGTTGTGCAGGAGCATTTTTCTCATACGCTTCTTTTGATGAGGTTGCATCTGCCATCCCTCTTCTAGAGGCTGAGCCGCGGCCAATTGTTCGATATCAAGGACAAGGTGGTTTTCCTGGGGGTCCTCTTCAAAGAGGAACATGTCTTCATCGTCATCATCAAGGACGCGCTGATCAGCTATGGCATCTGCTTCTTCGGCAACTTCAATCTCTTCTTCCTCTTGCTCCTCTTCCTCTGGCTCCTCAGGTTCGTTTTCTTCCCCCATAAACGCTGCCATGCCAACCTCTTGTGCTGTTGCCACCCGGAAGTGTCCTGAAAGACCCAACCACTCCAGTATGCAAGGTGTAGGCCTGTGGAAACCTGTTTCCACAAACTCAACTGTGAGAGTTGCATAATGCTCTTTTGACATGAACGGCTGCAGATAGTCCTCATTGATGATGCCGTTCATGCTTCTTTCTACTTTTCGCTGAGAAACCTCCATGCACTGACGAAGAGAGTACATTTCTCTCAAGATGTTGCTTGTTCGGATATGAACTGTGCGCTGAACATCCCTTCTACGTCTCTGTTCTCTCTTCAAGAAGTTGAGGTTTTTGTTCTTCATATCCTCACTGTTACTCCTACCTCCAACACGGACGATATTTTGATTGAACTTCATGATCCCCTCAAGGAACTGATCAAGGGCATGGTTGGTGTAACAGACCACAAGGATGGGATTAGATTCTTCATCTTCATTCCACACATCACTGTTGTATAGGAGAGCCTGAACGATTTTGAGACCTATGTAGGTTTTACCAGTCCCAGGCGGTCCTTGGATGACGGCTAATTCTTGCGTCAGGGCAGCCTTGACAGCTTGAAGCTGAGAATCATCCAAGTGCAAGGTTTCTGCTTGTGGCCAAGTAGATGGAGTTAAGACTTGCACAGCACTGGCCTTAGTGCTAACTCTTCTCAGTGTACTAAGAAGTTTGCTCTCATCATCCTTGTCAACTTCTTCTGCTGTGTGTGTGAGTGGCGACAGATCATAGGTGGAAAACCTATCATGGCGAAGATATTGAGGAGGCTTCACATCACAGGAGACTTCAATGATGTAACGCTGCAGAGGAAGGCTGTTGCCTCGGACTTCTTGCAGGCCTTGCAAAACATGGCGGTAGGCTTCGAAGTAGGCAGACGATTCCGCCATGATGAACGAATCCGTGGAGTTTATTTCTGATACACGGGTCATGTCTTGGAACCGCAAATCGACTAAGCCTTGCTCAAGTTCCTCGGGCTTTCGGTTGGCTACAGTTGCAAATATGACAGACTGAAAGTTGTCCTTGGACAAGCAAACCAAAGAACCGAAAGTGAGCCTCTTGGTTGCTTGCCATCTGACCTTCCTAAACTTGGAGACGTCAAAGCTCACACGATGCGTGATGCCGTCATTGGTGCAGATGGGAAAATGTACCCCAACATCGTGATAAATACGAATGTCTTTCAACTTGCGATTCATGTTGGTTTGGGCAAGGGACACGTGATACTCTGCGATGCCCTGTTGCAGAGGTTCCAGAAAGTCTTGTCTCAGGAGGCGAAACTGAACGTCCAAATAATGGTTGAGGTCTCGATACTTTCCGTGTACTACGTTGGCTCGGAGGTAGGCCTCAGCGTTTGTAGTGATTTCAGCTACATCTGGGAAAATAGGAATTTCTCTGAAGTCATTTGGTGGAGGAGCTTCCTGGTCTGTCCTCTGCCGCTGGCTTTTGTGCTTCTTCGCCTTTTCTCTCTCCTCACAACAGAGAAGAAGCTGACTCAACAAAACTTTGGATTCACTCTCGAGTGGGTATCCTTTTGTCTCTAACGTTCTAGTGACAACATCCATTAGGGTGAGGACAACGTGGACATCCTTCATGGTGTTTTGAATTCTTTGGATGAGTGTCTGCATCAGCTTCAAGATCGAAGCAATCTGATTAGGGACCCTTCTCAGATACCGTTCGTCAAACTCTGTCACCATACTGTTAATGTGTTGGCTCAGATTCTTACTCAAAAAGTCCGTGTCGACAACAACATTCAAAACTCTGACCACAGACTGCGGTGAGTCTTCGCAGTCACAGACTCTGCCCAAAACACGAACCAGGAGGGCCATCATGTCACGCCGGATGTCACGCTCGCTCAGCAAGCTTTCCAAACCTTTACCGAAAGAGGTTAACTCTTGGACAACCTCGGCGGCGCATTTTTCTTCATCCAGCAGTGACTCTAGCATCTTGTAACCCGGCTGTCTAACAGGGCGTTCCCTCTGCTTGGCTCCGCCCTCTTGGTGATGCTGACCAGCATTTCTGAAACAAAATAAAATACGGATACAAAACATTAAAAAGTCCATGTATATTGATAAAAGCTAAAGCACGCATGGGAGTTTGAGTTTAGCGCTTGAATTCTAACCTGAAATAACCACCCCCTCGTCCTCGTTCTTGGCCACGCCCACGGCCGTACCCACCACGACCACGTTCTTGGCCATGCTGATTATCAACCCTCCTTTGATATCCTTGGTGTCTTGCCTGACCGTCCTCTTGCTGACGCCCCCTGGCAGGGGCTCCGCCTTGGTTAGCTCGGAATCCGCGTACTCGAAACGGATTACCCTCCATGATCACCTACGGCCAAGAAAACATATAATCAATTATGCCTAATCAATTACAATGCCCAAATCGCGTGTTTATGTAAACATATGCTGAACAACAAGGCTTAAAAAGTTCAAGATTGGCCAATGGACAGAGCTCTCTGTATTGGCTTCTTACTCTTATCGTACGCTACATTCTGTGACGTCATTAATGCTGGTTTGTACGGCTCTAACGTACATAGAGACAGCAGAATATTATTGGCCTGAATTACGTGCACCGGACCACACATAAGGCTAATTTTGTATCAAGGAATTTGGGATACCTATGGAGGACGAAATGTGGCCATCTGCTTTTCTGCTATCAGAGTAGTTGAAGAGCAGATTTGAGGTTTTTGTAACATGCATTTTTCGACTTTTCTACTACCTGAAAAGCAGAATCAACATTTTGTTGGAATGCATTTTCCCCTATTTTTCTACTTCTCTGCCGTCACCTGAAAAGTAGGTTTTACTTTTTTCTCTGTTCGCTGTCGGGCGACAAGCAGCCATCTACTTTTCTCTCTATCCGGGCATTGCAGGTAAAACGGGATGAACGTCTTCACAACTGTGAATTCTACTTTTCTGCTTTTTTGGTAAAGGAGGAGCAGATTTTACATAGGTGGCCGAAAAGTGGGCATCTGCTTTTCCGAGTTCCAAGGGCTGTGAACAGGGTCGTGAACATGTAGGCTACTGGGGGGATTGAAGACGTAGACACCAATAATTGCGGTCCGCTTTATCTTTTGTAATGAAAGATTTTATACGCAACTCACCCACGAAAATTATGCATAAGCATTTTCGCTTTGTGCTTTGTTATGAATGACCCAATTAAAAATATGCAATTGACAAAAAAAACAACCCAGCCAAGTCTGAGAGATCCGCCAGAACACGAACCAATCACAGGCCTACAGCCATGTGTAACCGAGTATACTAGTATCTCCGGGGAAATAAACCCGAGCCGTTTCACTGTTAGTAAACCTACAGGTTCATGATCCCGTTCTCGGCCCTTGCAAAACATGTTGATAGGCAGAATAACAGATTGCCACTTTTTGGCCACCTATGTAAAATCTGCTTCTTTGGATAGAAAACGCAGATTAGTAGAATTCATGGTTGTTGTCAAAACGTAGGCTTCTGCCGGTCAGAGTGAGAGAGAGGCAGATGACCACTTTTCGGCCGCCTAATTGTTGTCAAAACGTTCGATCCATTTTTTTTTTACAGGCAAAAAGTAGATGGCCACTTTTCGACCGCCGGCGAATAGAGGAAAAGTAAAATCTGTTTTTCAGTTAGCAGAAAAGGAGAACACTGATAGTAGAAAAGTAAATGGCCTCTTTTTGCCTTCCATAGAAATCACTACACGTGGGAGCATTGCGCTTGCGACACTTTTTTTTCAACAAACCTTCAAGTTAAAACAAATACGTGCAATAATAACACAAAGAGAGTGGCATCATATAGGCACAAATTTGGTTTCAAAAAAGGAAGGTCCTTCAGGAACAAAGCACACGCGCGAGTCTGCGTACGTACATGTACATGTAGGGCCGGCCACGCTGATAATAGGGAACATACATTGATCCAATTAACCTCGTTCCCATGGGTACGATCTTGTCGTTCCATGTTGGTTTCCACCATGCCTTGCGCGATGCCAGTGAAGGAACGCACACGCAGCCCATGGAGTCGAGGTTGACACTGATCCCATTATAATAGAGATCAATGGGAACATAATCTCGTACAGCGAGTCTAAATGATCTTGGCCAGGCCTCATTTTGGGCATGCGCTGTTAGAATACCAAACTGACTCGTTAAAGAAGAAAAACAATAAAAAATCATGAGGAATCGCTGTCGTACCAAAACAACAACAACAAACAACAACAACAAACTCCGTCGTTTTGGTGGAAATTAAGAAAGAGAGATTAAGCCAAGCATAATAAGTTTGGTGTCTCCGGTGGCATTGTTAAACATGAGGGGCCTGTTTTCCTGTGTATAAAACAAACCCACCAAACCTAAAACAAGCAGAATTACAAAAAAAAGCTGCTTCTCTTGAATCTGATTGTCACATCATTTCAAAGTACTTGACTAAACTCCATACACAGAAGAGTCATACCCTTTACAAACAAATACTAAAAAGTTACTAAATCGGCAGACATTTAGCACACAATAAGCATTTTTTGAATTAAAAATACAACATTCTTTTGGAAAAAGTCGCAAAGAAACTAATCTTGAAGACAACAGGTCAAATAATACAAGTTACACCATGAAGAGCATTAGGAATGGCTGGCTCGACAAATGAAACCTAGGCTTCAATAATATTCAGGATGGCTGAGTTAAGGGTTTAGGGCTTCTCTATCAATTAAAGTCCTGCTGGGAGACAGGACCTTTATAATTTCGTAAATATTTTGTAATAAACTGGGTGAACTTATGAGAAAGGCACAGCAAGGCAGAACATAAGAACATTAACACTGACTGCAGAGTTAAGACATCCAGACAACTGAAATAAAATGTCAGCTAAACACAAAAGAAAACAGATACTCTCCAAGAAGTAGGGGAAAGGGGGAGAAAGGAACCGCTGCAGCTATTCCCTCAAAGAGAGAAGGGCTGGGGCAAAATGTTTTGTGAAAAAAAGAGAGACGGGTGAGTTTTTATTTATTGACATTTTCTCTTTCATCAAAAGTATGTAAACGCCTCATGTGGCCTCAAACCTGAGAAAGGCCGTAAAATGTTACAGGAAAAAAATTGATTTTTTGGCCAGCAACAGGTTTGCCCCTTCTAAGTTTGAACTTGGAGAGGGTCTATCCGATCTAACAACCCTTTGTGAAAATCCAATAGTCTCAGCGCCGTACGATCCGATCAGATGGTTTTCGTGGTTGAAAGTGAATCTAAAATTGCTTGAAAAAAGTGCTGCATCTGACCGGAATCCAACAACATTCGAATTTAAGAATTTGTGGTCCATTTTGCGAGTCACCAATTTTTTTTTTAAACTTAAGAAAATTGTATGGCATTATATAGACCTAAACATGAATTGTCGCCGACGTTTATGTCGTAAATTGAGACGTCTTCAAGTTTACTTATTTTCGCAACCGAAGAGCAAAAATAGTGACAAAACCTTCCACAAAAATTGATTAAAAGATTAACATAATTGAACCTATAAGTATATTCGTTTGAATTCACGCGATAAAATTGAAAATAAATGGTTGCAAAACCCGGGCTGTGGTTAAATTAAGAATAGGTCAATGAAAATAAATACGGATTAAACGCATATGGCAACGCCTTGCCCAACGCCCTTGTCACATGGACATACATACCAATTAAACGCGTATATGATCATGCTTAAGGGAGAGAGGGCTTCGATTACCGTGTGTGGAAAAACAATGAACATTTTCAACTCAACTTACTCAGGTTAAAAACCAAATGATAACAACGTTTATGCTATCGATCAGATGTGACATTATGTAATTAAAGTCATAATCCGAATGGGATCAAATTAGACTGAACCATTTCATTCCGACCCGACACGATCCGATCGAAGTCAGTTCCTGATAGGATATCGGATCTCAATTGCACATCTTTCTTACTAAATGTATTGGGAAATGTGCTCTCTGAGACGACGGCTGTTACACACGATGAAATGCCTGCAATTTTTGACCGTCCATATAGTAAGCAATGTCTCATTATTTTGAAGGAAAGAAATATTCATCTGTCAATCAATGACTTGATATATTTTACAAGATTAAAGTGGATGGAGGTTTCTAAAAAGGAAAACTTGTCTAGTAGGGACCCAGCATGACATAGGCCTATATATGACACGCACTAAGACAAAACAGTGTCAAATAATTGTTAAACAAAATCACAGAATTCAACGAACAACGATTGAGTCAACAATGAATTGAAGACCTGTACACGAAACTGGATCAAACCTTAAAGCTGCACTCTAACAGAGTTGAAAAACCGAAATAAGTTTTTGACTATATAAATGATGTCTCAAAGTTCCAAGCAATAGTTCTTTTTGCTGTTTTTCATGATGGCTTATATCAGAATTACAGCAGTACACGCTATTGAGGGACAAAACCACGATTCTAAACTCCGTTTTAGTGCTGCTTTAATTGTAAAACAGCAGCATATGCGTTCCAGGATTGACGCAGACAACGCCCCTGGCTAAAGTTGATGACATTCAAACGACGGATTGAAGCAGACAGATCCCCTTGCCCTTCTACCCGCACGATCTTTTCCAGGCTCGACGATATGATGAAGTCGGGGAAAACTGCACCCATTGCAAAATTGGCCTTGAGACAATATGAAACAGGAGCGCCCAACATGAAGCCATGCTATCCTACCCAACGCAGCCTAGACTCAAATAAAACCGACCATACATCGTTGAAGTAGTCCCTAATAATATCTGACATAAGCCGTAGAATAAATTGTACAGCCTACCTTAATCTAGCGCAGTTGCCAAGCCGACTTGGGACAGTCTAAAAACAATCCAAGAGTCTGACTGCAATCAAGGGAGCACAAGATTTCCACAGCTATAATTTCCTCTGCCAGTCTATCCCCAAAATGGTTGCTGCTTGTCGCTGCTTTTTCCTGCACGCGTAGGCGAACAAAAACGTTAAATAGTCAGAGAGTGAACCTTGACATTACATGTTGCGGGTTATTCCGCTATTGCGCCATTTCACCGGGAACCCCCATTACGTACTCCAATCGATTCTGTGCGCGACGTAGGAATATTACGCCACCACTAGATGTTGACCGAAGGCAAGGTACCAGACCCAAACGGGGAATTCCCGTGACTTAAAATAGCTGCCATCAGATTCTACCTCGTTCCCACAGACAGCATCTTAGGCTTGAATGCTATTTTAATCTTTGTTTTAATGAACTTAGAATGACATTAGTATAGTGGTTGCATACTACCAAAGTAAATGATGTAAACGGGGTTGAGCGTGTTTGGTTCAGAACAAATAGAGCCCTTTTTACAAATCTCAAACTCTTTGTCTCCGGTTTGGTAGAGATCGAACCATCTGTGTTTGAACCACTCCAGTACAAATACTCAAAATATTGACATCTTGGGAGAGAACTTCGAGAAAACTGATACATTTGGGCAGTGCAGGATGTCCTTGAAAAGAACAAAACATTATACAGCTTTTGCCAAACTTTGCAAAACAGCTCCCCGAGGACGTTATGACCCCTGACCTCAAAACAACATGACAGCGCAGTATTGCGTGACGAGGGAAATTCCGCAATGAGAAATACTCGATGTATTCTTCTGTGAAGCACCGGTGCAGTGACACGACATTCGTGGTCGTTGAGGGGACCTCTCATCATAGTCTCCTTCCAAAAAAAGGTAGCGTTGCGCGGCTTGTCATGGTGCTTTTGAGAAATAACATCAAGATTTGTTGTACTTACTATTCAGTCCTGATGACTGGAACTAGATCGCTATTAAAAATTCTTCACCACCGACAGGTGCTTCCCTGTATTATGCACGTAAGCATTTCAATATAAGAGGAAAATTAAATATGCTGGATTCGGCCAACGCTTCCTGGGTCGAATTTCTATCTGTTTTGTTTTTAGTTTGGGCTACCGTATAATATAAAGACTTAGTTATTCCACTTGTTCGTGTAGGCCTGAACTTTTTATTAGCTCGTTTGTAAAATCTCCTAGGTCCAAGAAGTCTAAAAAGGTTGTAAGTATGTCGGTTTTTGCAATACAAGGACGAAAGTCAGATGAAATCCCTACGCCGTGTGTGTCGTTTCAACTTCATGAATATGAAACTGACACTGTGGAACAGGAATCATGCTTCTAGGGAGTGGCCATGCAGCATTCAACGTACGGTGCTCGTCTGCGCGTCATGGAAGCTTTATAATGGCTACTCATAATTATGATCGGTTCTTTTAAAACCAGCTGGACGTGTTCGGCATTTAGCAAGGTACGACATTGATTGTTTTTTTCCTATGCTGCCATATATTAAAACAACCATGTCTTTGACAGAAGGATTTTGGACTGAGTTTTGGAAGTAAGCGTATGAGAGTTTCGATATAGTGCTATTATAAAACAGTCGATTCGAAGCAAAAGCTTATCGTGCTGATAAGACAGAACTTTTTGTAACGACAAGAATTCAACTGTCAAATGGACGATGCTTTTCGAAAGCTCGTGAAAACATGGCTAGGGTTTAATCTGATGCAATAGAAACCGGTGGCCTCATGCCCACCAGTACAAACGTTTTGACTTTTAGGAAGGAATTTAGAAGGTCTGGCAGCCACCAATTTCTTGCATGACGAATGATATTGTCATGTTGTTTGTGAGACAATGTGAGTTCAAATCGTGTTTCCTGTTCGAAGAATTATTCCTTCGCAAGTCTCCCGTTTCTAAATATCCACAGCTTCACAATATTCACAGGTTCAGGCATTATCGCTTCGGTCGTATACACAAGCCTCTCGATGATCTGTCCTGGTCCGAATGGCTCGGAAGAAAGTTTGGTTCAGAACAGACCCAGATGGACACACAGGATAGTGGCTTGGGTTGATATTTAAAATACCCAGAAAGCAGAACATATTTTCAGAGCTACAAGAAAATTACAACTACACTACAATACAACGAAACTACAATAAAAGCTGCTCATATAAATCTGAAAAGCACGGAAGCATTTATGTCCAAGCCGTCACAATAACGCTATCATCAGAAACATCATTTGAAAAACAAAATACATAAAAGGGAAAAACAAAACTCGGAGTGGAAGGCTTCATTATTCCAGAAAGCTGAATGATTAGTGAAAGTCATCTAATGATTAATGCGTAGTTTTCTTTATTTTTTCATACACGTCTTTAATCTATAAGTAAACGCTGTCAGGAAATAAGTTCAGACGGATGTTTCAAATTTCACGAAGATCAACAATTACTGGCAAATTATTGAAACAAAGTTGACCTCAACATTATTATTAAAGACAAGTAGGATCTTTGTAAACATGCTTCATTTTGTTTGCTGTTTCAGTCATGGCTTCAGGTTTTGATCACAGGAGGCCCTACGGCTTCAGCAGAAATCAGGACCAATTTCCTTCTCATGACGATTTCACAATGGCCAATGACAGAAGAAGACGTACGGAAGCTGAAAGACAGCGTCAGGATGCAAGACCTAGTCGTGGACACTCAAGAGGTTACGGTGAAGTTCACAACTTTATGATGAGCACTGTTGATTCAGATCCAACCATAACAGGTGCCAGACGAAAAACTTTCCCCCCTCAGCAAAGGGGGTATACTGGTCGTGAACAAAGAGTCAGTTCTGGACGTTATGTGCCGCACCAACGTAGGATGGAAGATCGCAGCTATGGGACTCATCGGGAGACAGGAAGTTATGCGCGTCGCTTCCACGCACCTACATGTACGGGGACGGATCACACGAGTAGACCCCCTGCGTTTGAGACCCGAAGTGGATTTGAGCGAGGAAGCCGAGGCAATGACGAGCTGACAAGTGGTTATGGTAAACAGAAACATTACAGGACAGATTTCAAAAGACGCCCACTGGACAACAGAACTGCCTCCTCACATTGGAGAGGCGAAAGGGGACGTCACAATCGAGTGCCCAGGACGAGGGCAGAACGTACACCCGACGAGGAGTCCGATTTCAGGCGGTACAGTACTTCATTCTTCACGACGACGGAGAGAAGCGAGAACGAAGCCACAAGAAACCCTTCCAGGTAAGATTAATATTGCCGTGCAAATGATCTTATACAGGGCCAAAAGAAACATGCCACTGGACTGCGTAGTTGTGATAGAACCCGTGGCAAAAATGTGTGCCTCAAACTTGGGAATTTGGATTCTCTAGACAGTACAACGGTCCTTTTTGAACGATGCACTGGTTTACTGTTTTAAGAGTTAATATTTACTAAACAGAAAATGTACTCATAAATCTCGAAATCGACTTCGACAGGCTAAACTTGTAAATATGGCAGAGGTTAGTTGAATTAAGTACGTTGCTGTCTCCGCTGAATAGGGAGACAACGCTAATTGTTACAAATTTGACTTATTGCTAAAAAACCTGAAAAAAACCTAGTGGTGGAAGCTGACGAGTACGAAACCAAAGGCTAAAGTGATTATAAGATTTTTAAAAAAGAAAAGGAAATCTGTAGCGATTCACACAGATATCGTGCACATTATAGCAAAATGTTATGATGCCATTATGGACAAATTTCCCATTATTTAAGGATAAAAAACACAAACATTCAAATGCTCATTCAAAAAGTGTGCTGTACGTGGGCACAGGCATAACTTAAAGATTTACACTTTTTTTCCATATTTATAACATAACAAGGTGAACAAAGATTCCTGGTTTCAGTGTTTTCGTTTCAAACTTTAGCAGCTGTCTTGTATCACAATTGTGCTCCAGTGTTTACTTCAAAACAGCTTTATTTTGGGGGGTTTTGGTTTAATGCTTACTTGCTGTTCTATTTATTTGCCTACATGTAAAAAAGTGTCTCTAATTCTCATAAATGAGATATCGCAAAATGTTTGCTTCAGTATTTTTGTTCATAAGGGTCAACTTTTGTCTTGTGTATTGTTACACAGGAGATAAAAAGTCTACAATTAATTAACAAACATGATTTTCATTTCCCAAAATGAGCAGAACTCCACAGTTCAAGATACCTCGTAAATCCCGGATTTTACAGTTACTGGATGCACACTGTGTCCTTCTCACGCTTAACCAACACATGTCTCGTGTAACGCACCGGGGAGATAGTCAAGAGAAGATTTTTCTTGAACCCAATATCAAGTTGGTCAAACTTCAGAATATATAAGCGCAGACATAAATGGATCCATTAAACCAAGTTATTGGGGGCCAAAGGTGTTTTACGGGGGATTTTTTCATATAAGCTTTACGGCCTTTGGGAAGGGTGAGGCTTCATTTTGAAGCTTTTAAAACTTTTTAAAAGACCTAGGCAAAACAAAATACACCCCCAAAAAAATTATTTTTCCCTTTTTAGGGGCCATGCACTCACCATTGTCGATGTTTTTAAATTTTTTTAAAACTGTTTTGACCCACCTACCTATCCACCACACCCCCCGCCAAGCACCCCGAATTTCATTTTAAAATGATTGCTAGCACTCCCTGATTATCCTGGCTCTTTTTTTCGCATCCATGGCTGTTCTTTCATTGACTGCGTACATTTATTGTTTGTTACTGCGCCGCAGACTCGTTTACAGCAGAATTATTTATTAAGTTACGCAGCGGTGAATCAGCTGAAAAGGATCCAATAGAAAATCTGGCTACACTAACCGCTGATAACAGTTACGTCCACCAGTGGCGTAGCCACGTGGGCCCAGAGGGTACGTGCCCCCCCATTCCCGGTGCCCCCCGAAAAGAAATGGATGAATGGATATTGAACAAGGTTAACAAAAATTTGCCCTTCAACAACCACACCACCGAAAGCTGGTGTCCCCGTAAGATGCTGGTGCGCCTTTGTGCCCCCCCCCCACTAGTAAAATCCTAGCTACGCCACTGACGTCCACTAAACCTCGACATAAATACATGAAATTGAAAAACTAATTTCCATATGTATGGCAAGCAATCTAATTTTGTGAATTAACCCTGGCTCCCAGCCATTCCATGTCCTTCTCGCTATTTCTAGCGATAGGAACCAGTGCATGCTTCTCCTCGTGTGCTTCCACCACAATCCGGAGCGATGCAGTTGCTTCACGTTTACGTGAAAGCCTGCAAAGTGTGCAAAGTACGTACCTCGTATACGCACGGCTGTTTTATATTTGATTCCATGCACCTTCATGTACACAAAATATTTATAGAAAAATTAATACAATTTTAGATGATTCGCCGTCAGATTATGCCACGTATGCTTCACGGCGCAGGTGCACCTACATATACCGTACTTGTGCGTTGGTTTTACGTGATTACGTTGGTTTCAGCATTGCTCGGGTAACGCCCAAAATATGGGATTCAACAGACAACAGATTCGAATGCAGCCAACAAGTCTAATAATAAACCACCTTCACCCACGGAGTTTCATGATACATGGACACAGGTTATTCTATCTGTAACTGAGAACGAAGTTGAGAAAAATCGCACTCGGGCCTACGGAACGCTGTTGCGGCCAATGTAGTTCAAGCAAGTAAAAAAAACCGATTTCTTTTCCGTTTTCAATGACAAGCAAATTTCGATTTTCAGTAATTTACTTTGACCAACCCACCAACTACCTCGAAAAAATAAATAAATAAAAAACATCGAAAATTTTGAATGGCCCCTTACTTTTAAACATTCTTTTAGCTTCAGGGGGATGGGAGGCCCTGTGATCACCTCCATGAACCGCCCGTGAACACAGTCCTTAAAATCGCCAACTACTAGACTGAAATCCTGACTAACTGTAATCACTTATTAATCCCAGCGCCTCACACCTCTATATGTCATTCTAAAACTCAAATACATTCTTTATCCTACAGTGATTCTTCAAATACGAGACCATCCAACGATAGCATCGCAGAACCACATCAAACTCCAGAAAACACGTCCGATCAAATGGTAAGCTCAGAGCCATATAGGGTTAAACCTGCATCTACGACGCCTGCGCTAACGGAAAAACAACTGCAGAGCTTCCTGGAAGACAAACCATCAGATATACTCAATGAATTGATCAGAAAGAAGGATGCCTGTATGGCGTTGTTGTGTCAAGACCAGATTGATGACAACACAATAGAATTGATACTTCAGGTGTTGTCAGCATTGTGTAACTTAGATCCCTTGTCAGCTTACACTGAAGAATTAAACACAGTACTGGCCATGGTTGAGTCTTCCTTGTTTCTGAGCAAACATGTGACTAGGTTTTTAGTAGGTTTTATAGTCAAAGAACAAGAGGAAGTTGATGACAATGATCACGATATTCGGAGACTTACTATGGTGCTGAAATTACTTGAAATGTTCCTTCAGCATAAGCCGAGTAGGTACTGTGAGGTAGGAGGGGCTCTAATTCTATTGGAGAAGATTGTGACGTCAAGCTCGCTCCTAGAAGATTTAAAACAACTAAAGATTGCCTACGAGGCAGTGGAGCAGGCTCAGAGATCAGTCAAGCAGCGAGCCATGGAAAAACCACCACCAAACAACTTCAGAGATATCAAAATCTTCCCAGAGAGCAGCGAGATTCGGCGAGTCACCAGGCCGTTTCTTCGAAAGAACATCATAGAGGGAAGATATGAGAGTGTTGAACATTACCTGGATGTCCAGTTCAGGTTGCTCAGAGAGGACTTCGTGGCACCGTTGAGGGAAGGTGTTACCGAGTTCCTGTCAGATACCAACGGACGCATCAAAGACATCCGAATCTATGACAATGTCTTCATCAGAAGCGAAACAATGGGTGAAAATGGCTTTGTCTACACGCTCGAGTTCGCTAGAACACCCCCGATGAGACGCATACGCTGGGAAGCGAGTAAGCGCCTCCTGTATGGTTCCTTCGTCTGTCTCACTAAAGACAAATTCCAGCACATTATTTGTGCAACGGTGGAGAACAGAGAAGTAAAGGATTTGGAGCAGGGTAAGTTGGGTGTCCGCTTCTTGACCCAGACAAAGAATCTTTCCAGAGGTCCGTACATAATGGCTGAGTCAGCGGCTTATTTTGAGGCATGTCGCCATGTTCTGCATGGGCTACAGCAGATAGATGAAGACAATTTTCCTTTCACGAAGTACATTGTGGATGTAACTTCCATCGTTGACCCACCCGAATACCTTCACGAAAAATGTTCTGTCGTGTATGACCTCAGTTTACTAGCTGCCAAATCCAGTTCACCAGCTCCTTCGCAAATTCAACGAACGGGGGACCTACACCGCAGTAACCTCCTTGCAGCTGTCAACCAAACTAAGCGAATTGCATTCAACGTGTCAATTCTGGAGAAAGATACCTGGCCTGGTGCGCAGGATTTGTGCCTTGATGAGTCTCAGAAAGCTGCTGTCCAAACAGCCCTTACGAAGGAGTTCGTCCTTATTCAAGGTCCTCCTGGAACAGGAAAGACATACGTCGGTCTTAAAATCGTACAACTTCTTCTTCACAATAGGTGTCGAGTGGATAATGAATGCATTGCTTCCTCGCCCATTCTGGTAGTGTGTTACACGAATCACGCTCTGGACCAGTTTCTTGAAGGAATCCATGATTTTGGCGAACTCGAGATCGTTCGCGTTGGTAGCCGAAGTAACAGCAAGCTACTTGAAGACAAGAACCTTTCCCAGTTGAGACGAAATAAACGAAAGAAGAGAGGGAGAGAACGGAGAGAAGTCGATTGGATTTCCAATCGCTTGCGAGACACTGATGAGAGGATTCGACGTTTACTGCTAAAACTGGAACTTCCACGGAAGGTCCTATTGAATGTCAGGGCTCTGCAGAACTACATGAGTCATTCGGAATTCAGTGCTCTTTTAATACAACAGCGTGGATGCAACGAACCCCAGGAGGAGCCACAAAAGCTGTTGGATTGGTTAGGGGTCACTGAGGAGGAGAAAGAAGATAAGATGATTGAGCAGCAGGTGTTTCAAGAAAATGCAGCATACGATGCGGGGTGCAATAAACGCTGTGGTAAAAATCGCGATTTGGACCCCGTTATGCAGCTTAAGAAACCTGATATGATGACTGATGACCAGGCCAGTGAAGTTGAACGTGTCTGGTCGCTGAAGATTTGGGATCGTTGGCGTTTGTATAGATTCTGGGTTAGGAAATATTTGGAGTACCACAAGGCCGAACTTCAAAGGCAACGTCAGGCTCACGATGACATTTGCAAGGAGTTACAAGCCGTAAATATGCAAAATGACGTTAGCAAAGAAAATGGACTGAAGGAACAGACAGATTCAAAAGAAGTTGAAAAGACCAAGTCAAGACTTAGGGAGACGGACAAGATGATCTTTTTAACACTTCTTAAAATAGAACTGCCTACAAAAGTCCTGTTGAGCGTTAAGGCTCTAAGAAAATATATGAGCCGTTCTGAATACGGAGCCCTTTTGATACAACATCAAGAGGGTATGAAACCACAAGAGAATCCGCAAAAACTTCTGAACTGGCTGGGCGTCATTGACGTAAGTGAAAACATCAACGTGGAAGATGAGGGACGACGAATTCAGATGGAACGTCAAATAGACGAAGGGGGCGACTTTTGTACAATACGAGAGGAACGTCTACAGGCCATTGAACAGGAGACCTTGCGTGAAAACGCAGCGTATGATCTTCAATGTTATAAACGCTGTGGAAAAAATCGTGATGTTATACCGGTTGTGGAGCTCCAAAAACCCGATGTGATGAGTGATAAGGAGGCTAGCGGGGTCAACCGTGTCTGGTCTCTGAAGATTTCGGATCGTTGGCGTTTGTACAGACTTTGGGTAAGGAAATATCTGGAGGACCACGAAGCTGAACTTCAAAGGCAACGTCAGGTATACGAGGACCTTTCTGAAAAGTTGCAAGATTTTCGTTCGGAAGAAGATCTTGAAATTCTTCGGGAGGCAAATATAATCGGTATGACGACCACGGGTGCAGCTAAATATCGTGCTGTATTACAGCGTCTTCGTCCCGGTATCGTAGTGGTGGAGGAGGCTGCTGAAGTTCTTGAGGCTCACATCATCACTACCTTGACTGCAGCATGCCAACATCTTATTCTCATTGGAGATCATCAACAGCTGAAACCAAACCCAACAGTCTACCGCCTGGCGAGGCAGTTCAACTTGGACACCTCTCTGTTTGAGAGAATGATCAACAACGGTGTGCCTTGTAACACGCTCTCGCATCAACACCGAATGAGACCCGAAATCTCCTCTCTGATGAAGAAACATTTCTACAACAATCTCCACGACGACGAATCTGTGTTGAAAATGGATGACATCAAAGGTGTAAAACATAACATGTTCTTCATCGACCATCAGCACTTTGAAGACGAAACTGACGACAATAAAACCAAATCAAACAGACATGAAGCTCTCTTTCTTGTTGGATTGTGCAAATACTTCTTACAACAAGGCTATAAACCCTCTCAAATCACTGTTCTGACAGCCTACACTGGACAACTATTCTGCTTCAGGCGTCTCATGGATAGAAACACATTTGACGGAGTAAGAGTTTGTGTTGTAGACAACTTCCAGGGAGAAGAAAATGACATCATCCTGTTGTCTCTGGTACGAAGCAACGAAAAAGGTTCCATTGGTTTCTTGAGTACTTCTAACCGCGTCTGCGTTGCATTGTCTAGGGCTCGCATAGGTTTCTACTGCATTGGAAATGTAAGCATCTTGAAGAAGGCAGAGAAATGGCGGGAAATTTCAACTTCTCTTCAGGCTGAAAAACGGATTGGTACTTCATTGCCATTGGTGTGTCAAAACCATCAAGACAAAATAACCGAAGTTGAATCAGGAGAGGATTTCAAGAAGGTTCCCTTGGGAGGCTGTGGTGTACCTTGCGAGTATAGGCTTCCTTGTGGCCATGTATGTGATTTGCTCTGCCATCCCCTTGATCCTAATCATGAAAAATACAAGTGTGAAAAATCATGTCCAAAAGACTGCGGTCGACAACATCCGTGCCCGCTTCAGTGCTTTGAAGGCTGCAAACCATGTGATGTGAAACTTACCAAAACAATGTCTGACTGCGGTCATGTGATCCAGGTTTTCTGCTACGAGTTCGATACGATTACTTGTCCCATGCCGTGTCCCAGGTTGTACGCTGATTGCGGGCATCGATGTCGGAAACTCTGTGGTGAGAACTGTCTTCAGACGTGTCCTGAAGAGTGCGAGAGGAAGTTGTTATGTGGTCATTCATGTAGGAATCCGTGCGGTGATCCTTGCACCGATTACTGTGAAGTACAAGTCGAGAGAACCTTGACGATGTGTGGCCATACAGTTCGCATGGACTGCGGTGAAAAGCAAGACGAGCACCTGTGCAAAGTTAAGGTTTGGAGAAATCTACCGAAATGCGATCACCGAACTGAAATGTTTTGCCATGATGATCCTGATACTGCGAAATGCATAAGGAGATGTGAAAAGGTGCTTGAATGTGGGCACCAATGCAAAAACAAATGCTTTCAAAACTGTCAGGAGATGTGCCTTGAAGACTGTAAGAGGGCGCTATCTTGTGGTCACCCATGCGCAGAATTATGCAGTTCTTCATGCACTACTTTCTGTAGAGTCACAGTTGAGAGAACCTTAACTGAGTGTGGTCATACCGTTTACATGGATTGTGGTGAAAAGTCTGACGATTATTTGTGCGAAGAGAAAGTTTGGCGAGTTTTACCAAAATGTGATCACCGTGTTGAAATGTATTGCCATACAGACCCAGGCTCTATCTTGTGTAAGAAAAGCTGTGATAGGGTGCTTGAATGTGGACATCCGTGTCCAAAGAAGTGCTACCAAAACTGTCAGAAGCGGTGTCTTGTACAATGTGAGAGAGCACTCTCTTGTGGCCATCCATGTAAAAACGTGTGCGGTGATCCATGTACTAAGTATTGTGAAGTTGAAGTCGAGAGAACTTTGCGGAAGTGTGGTCATACCGTTTACATGGACTGCGGTCAAAAGCCGGACGAGCATAAATGCCGAGTAAAAGTTTGGCGAGTTCTACCCAAGTGCAATCATCGTGCTGAAAGGTGTTGTTACAGAGACCCGGGCTCTATTCATTGCAGGGAAAGCTGTGAAAGGGTGCTTGAATGTGGCCACCCATGTCAAAAGAAGTGCTACCAAGACTGTCAGGAGTGTTGTCCTGAAAAGTGTGAGAGAACACTTTCTTGTGGTCACCCATGCCAAAACGTGTGCAGTGATCCATGCACTAAAACGTGTAAAGTTCAAGTGAGGAGAACTTTGCCGAAGTGTGGCCATACCGTTCGTATGGCATGTGGTGAAAAGCCAGGCGAGCATCAGTGCACAGAGAAAGTTTACAGAGATCTACCTAAGTGTGATCATCGTGCAGAAATGCTTTGCTTTCAAAACCCCGACTCCTTCGAATGTAAGGAAAGATGCGAGAAAGTTCTTGAATGTGGACATCGATGCCCAAATGTCTGTGGTAAACCATGTACGGTTTCTGACCTTTCTCGACCTGAATTCACCGCAAATCTGTTTTTCTACAGACTCAAGAGAAATATCAAGCCGTGTGAAGAACCTGTGAAAAAGACGTACACTTCTTGCGGGCACACCGTGACTGTTCCCTGCCACAAAGACCTTTCCTCAGTACCATGTACCAGTCGTTGTGAACTGCTACTGTCTTGTGGACACCGATGCCCTAATGTCTGTGGCAAACCTTGTGATGTTTCTGACCTTCCACAATTAAAAAAAAGCGAAATTTCGAATTTGTACAGGCGTGGAGAAAATACTAAGCCATGTGAAGAACCTGTGGAAAAGACTTATACTACTTGTGGCCACACTGCGACCGTTCCGTGTCACAGGGATATTTCTTCAGTGCCATGTTTAAGGCGTTGTGAACTGACATTGCCTTGTGGTCATCAGTGTCCAAGAAAATGCGGTCAAAGTTGCCTTGGAGAAAGGGTGGATGACGAGATCATCTACAAGGATAATTCTGCATACACGAAGTATAACAGCACGTACTTTTTGTCATTATGTCAGGAGAAATGTAAAAGAGAGCTTCCGTGCGGGCATAAATGCCCGAACAAATGCGGTGAACCTTGTCCACAGGTAAAACCGACTGCAGATCGACGAATGAATGACTGGTTGGGCATAAAAGGCATTACCACGCAGTGTCAGGAGCTCGTGAAGAAGAAGCTCCCAAACTGTGACCACATCATAAGCGTCCGCTGCCCCACGGATGTCCGCTCTTTTTCCTGTACAAAAAACTGTGAGCGGGTGCTTCCTTGTGGCCACAGGTGCCCTAATAAATGCATTGATCCCTGTCCCGGGAGTGCAATCTTCAAGTCGAATAGGTTCAAAAGGTCTAAGAACTACCGACAGCGTGCGGGTCCACGTGAGAGATGTGAAGTTACCGTCACGAAAGCTCGGGCGTGCGGACACAGCTTCAAAACTATGCCATGCTGGAAGGCAGAACAAGCCGCCAAAATGCCGTGCAAGGAACCATGCAGGGCTGAACTTCGGTGTGGTCATGCGTGTACCGGTAACTGTCATGATTGTCAACAAGGCTCACGTCACAAACCTTGCACTAAAAACTGCACCAAGCAGCTCCTCTGTGGCCACATGTGCGGTTTTGAGTGCAGTAAGATTTGTTCTCAAGATTGTAGAAAGTGCAGTGATGATCACAGACAGACTAAGAGTCGAGATTCTGCGGCATCTCCATCTCCATCTTGCAAACATAACATCACACATCATCATCTGAAGACAAAAACTTGCATACGACCTTGCGACAGAAAGCTTCAATGCAAGCACCCATGCATTGGCGTCTGCAATGAACCATGTCCTCCATACTGCAGTGTTTGCAGCAAAAAGAGCGTCCGCTCAAATCTTCCTAAAGGAAGTCCTATTAGGCCCAGGGATCTGTACATTTATCTTCCTAACTGTAAACATCTTTGTGAGATGCGGACCCTGGATAGAATGTTCACAACGGTCAAGAACACCCTTGAAAAAGATTACTTCTTGATTCGTCCTGTTCCGTGTCCTAAATGCAAGGAGCCAATTCGCCACTGTTCTCGTTATAATGGTATTCTTCAAACTGTCACGAAGTCTGTCAATACCGCAAGACAGATTTGCGCTCGAAGTAGAAGGGGTGATGTTGGTACAACCCCCCTGTCCTTTGCCTCTGGGAAATGGATGAGATGTCGTCAAGGTCACGTGTTCTTATTAGAGGAGGAAAACGAAGTTGTTGGGCGACAGAAGGAACCACGGTGCTCCGAGTGCTCTCAAAAGAACGGTTGAGAACGTCTTTGAGTATGGCTGCAACCTCAATCCAGCCATCCATTCAATTCATTACTAGAAGTAAAGGTATAAAGTGAAACAAAGTACAAATCAAATTCGTCGACGATGTCGAGCGCTGTCTTTTCAGGTAAAAGCAACAACCCCGGTGTAGAAGAGACATATCGCGTGCAGGGATTCGACAATGCGTGATGTAATACCACAGAATGCACGCGATATAGCTATGTTCACAAGCCAATGGCATAAGCTAAAGTGTCCCGCGACATGCTTGCAAAATTTGATTTCTATCTGCGTATGAGCGCAGTTTTTCCCACCAAGGATTATCGTTCTTCGTTGATATGTAAAAACCTATCATGTCTTGTTCCTGCACCTTTTAGGGAGTGTTTTATACCTTTGTATAAAAAAGAAGAAGTACCGTAATTTAAATTTGGCTGAAGATGGGCACACAGTTTATTTGTTTAACCCTAACTCCCTAGGGTGAGTACAAAATCATATTAAAATTAGAGGATTCAGGAATGTTAGGGTTAACATTATATATTAGTAGCATCAATGACACTAGAATGATTCTTCCTCTGTGTAAGAACAACGGGAATTAAAGAGTTACAACTTGCTTGAAGCATTTCAGAAAATTTGACAGATTTTTGTGTACAAAACTAAACTCAAAGCTATCACACATGTCAAATGCTTGCTAAACCCGTATTATGAAAAGATAAATCTATACATGCACATAAAATGTTATTTTGAATTCAGAATTGAGAATGTTACAAAGCTGTATAAATTTTGATTTTGAATCATATTTGTTGTGAGTTACACGTACAGTGCTAAAGATTTACATTATATGTATCTTTAAAAGATTGTCTACTTCTTGAGAAATACTATACCCCAATGTGTTGGAGTAACACAACATGTTTATAACGTGACTTTGGAGAAGGTAAATTCGGAAACTTAATATTAAAATGACATGTAAAGGTGGTTTAGTTTTCTTCTCAGCAAAGTCCCATGATTTTTGGACAACTATATTATTAGTTTTTCCTTGAATCTTGAAGTATGTTTAATTTGTATTCATCTTTTGAAATGGACTAAAAGATACACGTGGTTGCTGCTTGTCAATTCATTGTAATTGTGATTGTATGCAATGGAATTCTTGGTACTACATATATTTTGATAAAAAAAACAAACCAAACCAAAAGAAACATTTAACACTGTTTTGTAGAGAACTCGAGGTTTCTCGATAAGGAGTTTGTTTTATTAATAGCCATTTCTTATTGTTAAGTCTTGAAGGCTGTAGATTATTATGAAGACGTCCATTATCTGACATGAACTGTTCCAAACGAACAGTTCACGTATCTAGAACAGCTCAGTACAAAGAATTATTACACCTTCAGTTCGAGTGGTCAGGATTATTACTGACAATTTGATATTTTGCATCTTACTTTTTACTTTTTTTTACCACACTTAATTTGTTTTTCTTTTATCAATTATATAACCTGCTTTGTTTTCGTGTCTTTTAATATTGATATATTATATTTGTTTTGTACTAAGTAGCTTAAAGAAATAACCGCAAATGCTTTATAATCATACAATACAATATAACGAATATCTATGACTGAATGTACGCAAAAAATACGTATAAAAAGTGTTATAAAAATAATAAGTAATCTTTTAACAAATTTAGCAAAATTGCTGGAAAAGTTTGAAGTTTTGGTAAATGTTAAATTATCCTTAATTAAATATTCTGGCGAAGTTTGCATTACGTAGCGTTTAAAAAGTTATAACATTGTAATAATGGGTTTTATCCTTACGCGACGTATCTTGTAATACATCTTGTAATAGTTTAAACAGTTACTTGTCAAAAGAGGTTTATGTGAACCAAACTAACGAGCAGTCTAAAGTAGGGCAGCTGTCAGGTTTTGAGGTCAAATGCTTTTTAGAATATTTAAACAAAACTATAAAAGCTCATGTGAAGTGTTTGGTTATCTGGAAAAGAAGATATTTTGTAGTTCCCCCCAAATGACTACAAGATGGCTTCTTTTCTAAGAATCGGTATTCGGCTCCAGGTTCCACTTAAATATGTAGGCATACATTGAGTGTAAAAACGCTGCTGTTTACCCATAGAACTACATTAACGTAATGTTTTTAGATGTGCGATTGTACGTTGACAGTTTTAAAAACATGTCATTATCCAAATCTTTAATACTTGCCAAAGTTGAGGTTCATTGACAGTAACTGAAAAGTGTGAGAGGTTACATGCCATGATTTTTTTTTTGTAATTTTCTGCTTCTCTTAAATGTAGGAAAACACTTTGGCGTATTTTGGGATAATCTTTTAGAAAAGCGCACCTTGAAAACACTTTGGATTTGCCACGCTCTTCCAGACAAATGACGGTGCTATTGTAATGTCATTTCAAGTGAAGCAAGAAATGCGTTTCAGTTGTGAACCCAAAATTTGCTGACTAAACACAAAATCGATAAAGCTTTGTCTACTGGCCTACCGAAAAGAACTGAAAACAGAAAAGTATATTTGAGACATATTTTAGACAAAGTAGCCGACACGCTTGCTTGCCTCATATGAAATTTTAAATTAGCATGGAAATTAGAAATTTTCACAATTACTCTTTACAATGTAAAATAGAAAAAGTAGTTTTGTTTCAGACAGGAAATAAAGAAGAGAATAACAGATAAAACATTGTAGTGAAAGGAAATACAACCAAATTAACGAATGACACATAAGAGTAACCACACACACCAAATAAAAATGTGAACTTATTCACCAGTCTACCTAATTATGACGTATGTTATTGATCTCCTTTGCTTGATGACTTTAACTAGTAAGCGTACTTTTCATGTCACTTCAGTATAAACAGTATTAAGTTTGGAAAAGCTTTTGGAGTTTCCTTTTAGAACTGAATAAAAACTGGCTAGCAACACTACTGTAAATGATTGTCTTATTTTCGGAAGTGGAAATTTCTTTAAATTTGTATTGTTTAAATCATTTTGAGGGAAGTATGGAATGACTTTTAGTACTTCATTTCATAATGCAATATGGTTCCCAAACATAATACGTTCCGTGTTTCTCATCAGTGGACCAAGCGTTTGCCGGAGGGGGGGGGCTCAAATGGACGTGAACCCAAACGTGCGGGTCATATTTTTCTGCATATCAAATATTCAAGCACCAGGGCCCAGCAGAGGTTCAAGGAAAACGATTGACATGTTTATAAGATTGAATGAATATTGTGACAAGCAAGAAGTTAAAAAGAACCAGAGTTTATTTCAACACAGGCCAAAATTATTTGACACTTCAGTGGGGATTTTATATCATGAATTTAAATCAAATACACTTCGCTATCGTTAAAACCGTCGCAACATAAACTGCCATGTTCTGAATAAAGTACTTTGGGATTTTTTTTTTATTCTGAAATGAATATTATTACTGGAAACGTTTGTGGTAGAATGAAATGAACAGGACCTAAACCAACCCTCCTTCAAAAACCCTGTTTGCCATGCTCATCAGGAGGAAGCAGCTGTTCTTTCCACGTGTGTACAAATATCGAAGAGTTGGGAAACAGACTGGGGATTTCCCCAATCTTGCAATTATACTTGCACGCTGCGCATGAACTAGTCTTGGTTTCAAGACGTTAGTGCTTGATAGCGGACACCGTGCATAGTGCGCCCCCTAACGACTCATAGTTAGACTGTGCACCAGCTCGCACTAAGTAAAAACTAGTTGTGCGAGGGCGCTCTTCAACAGAAATAAAACAACTATCGATCACTGACGTCTTGGGCCAAGACTACGCATGAACAGGATTGGATGTGTGACCTTTTAACTCAACATTGCGTGCTTGGGGGAAAACCACGATGTGTAACAGCATTCATATTCATAAATTATTATGAACACATACACATATTGAAGACTACTTAGGCCTGAGTGGGTTTAAGGGCCCTTCTCATAATTGGCACTTCAGATTACTGCTCAAATAAAAAAGATTCGTGGACTTCTTTTTTTTTTACATGCCGTATTTATTCTGCACATCATAAAATTTCCTTTTGTCTGCTCTACAAGTACAACTTTGATTATTATGGGATAGTCAGTGTTATGCTGTTGCATTCACTCACATTGACATTTGCTCTGTGAGGGGCATTGTGGAAGTCCCCGCTCTCCCTGGTTTTTTACTGCCTATCACCGATGGTTACCCACATAATCGGACGATTTTGTAGAAATGCAGGTGATTCAGTTGGGCACGGCGGATTACATTGTTCCTGTTGCTGTTCTCTAAAACCGGAAGGTGTCAGCTTCCTGAATAGAGTGGTAAGTTGCTTCCCGTCAATATCAACCTGTTCGTCTCGTTAAAGTGGAACACCAATAAAACAAGATCCTTCGGACTTTATAAATTACCACGATGGGTATCTGGTACGTGTTATCAGTAAAGACTTGGGACCTTAAGTTGTCCTTGTTATAAGCATGACTTTGTATTATCGGTGCTCTTCTTATATTCTTCTCTTTGGAAAACAATGGGCATGACGGGCATGCACATAAAAGAGTTTTTAAGGTCAGAAAGGCGAGGCAGGTTTTTCACATTTTGTAGAGCTTACCAGAACGAAAGCGAAACCGCTCTTCTTACACCGAATATATGTATAATCCAAAGTGGCCGGCTAGACAGTGCAGATTGAGTTTCAACTGTACATGTTTTACCCATGTGTAGTGATATGCAGTGACGTTTTGTGAGTTCAATGAAATGAAAACAAATGAAGGTTAAAGATGTGTAGCTGAAGCCAAACATGCGCCATATTGCTGATTTCAGAAAGCATTATGATGCCCTTGTCGTGAAATGTAGATGAAAATGGTCTGAAATGGAGAATTTCCAAACTTGAATGGTACTCAAAGATTCGGCTCAACAAAAAATGAAGACCTGCCTTGCCTTTCTAACTTTCTTACGTGCGTGTTCATTATTTGACTGAATCGGGATATTCACAGTTTCTCCTTAGAATAAATAACATGTGTTGTTATTTTCTATGAGACAGAATTTCAGCAATCGTGGCTGGACAGCCTTACTTTAAAATAATGGATTTTTACAGAGCTCTTTGAGCATTAATAAAATTTAAATTTAATGTTAATTTGAACTGACGAGGAAAATCGGTTTCTGGACAGTATAAATGCATTTTCTTTGAATCAACATTTTGTGCGTCTTTAAGCTCTTCTTCAGTGCATGGAAACTGTATGAAATCTTTTGGGGAGTTAAGTGAACTGTAAGTGCACTTTTTTAAACATTCAAAATGGACCAAGCTTTTCCTGAAAATCTAGGAATATTCAGTGTGCATTTGTGTGCATTTTTCGGGCTTAAATTTGAATCTTAAATATTTTGCTCTTTGAAAACATTCTTAGAAAAGGTTGTTTACTGGCTTATCTGTCACATACTTAAGCAGCAATAACTTGCCTAGGGAAATCAAATCTTCAACAGTAAAAAAACAGGGAGTTTTCGTGCACAAATTAATGCCACGTCGAGGTTCAACGCCTCAGCTAGAACATTACATCATAGGGTTGCTCAATTTCAATATGCAAATTAATATAAACGTAATAACAAAAGGCCACCAAACCGATAAAAATACCAAAACGAAAATAAGGTTAATTGAAACACAAAGGTGTGATAGGATTATGGTCACATGTTTTTCTCTTACATGTACGCCCTGCATGGCTCCATTCAGGACTGTTTTGAAGAAAATTATTACTTGATGTTTGGCGGGTTCACTTCATAGGGAGATGAATTAAATTATTAATGCTTGCCTATTTTCTATAATTCCATGATGTAATGATATGTCGAAAAGTTAATTTGCAAGAGTATCGGAAAGCTAACGTGGCTCTGAAAGAAATGACAGCAAGCATGTCCCCCAAACCTCTAAAAACCTCAAAACCTCCATCAAAATTATTTTTCAACTGCACAAACAATGCAAGTACATCTGGATTGGCTGTTGCTTTGAAACTCAGAATGACCCAGTTCGGTGTTTCAAAAAGGTCTTTTGGGAGCAAAGCCCGCACATGAATCAGCCTACGGCTACACTTATATATATTTATATATATACATGTATATAAGGGTAGATTCCACTAATTCAAGCCACATTGAAAGCAGTGTAAAATCAGCATTGCTCAGGTGCAGTACAACGTGCATTCCAACTTCCCGTTACTCAGGGTGCAGTACAACGTGCAATCCAACCTCCCATTGCTCAGGGTGCATTACAACGTGAATTCCAACATCCCATTGCTCAGGGTGCAGTATAACGTGCATTCCAACCTCCCATTGCTCAGGGTGCAGTACAACGTGCACTCCAACCTCCCATTGCTCAGGGTGCAGTACAACGTGCATTCCAACCTCCCATTGCTCAGGGTG